TCACTTCACTGTTTTTCTCCACGTGTTTAAAACTGCCTGATACATTGATCTGATTCTTTATTTCTTCTCTGTTTGACCTGCAGATTCACCGACCAGTGACTCAGCAAAATCAAAGGTGAGTGTGCGTGTGTGTATGTGTGTGTGTTTCAGTGATCTTCCTCTCTGCCCTCTGATAGCCTTAATTTCTTAAGGCCTAGTTTTTTTTTACCAATCCTTGTAGAGCAATTTCCTTCAACTCATCTGGATTAAGTTTAGTTCTCTGGATTAACAACAGCCTGTGAGTGCTGTGTGTAAATACTCTACTAGGTTTTAGTCCATCAGCACCTTTGGCCCGAAGCAGCTTCACTCCATCACTGCACTGCTGTTCTGTGGCTGCTTCACTTCAGCTCCATCGTCACGATGCTGTCTCTGTGGCTTTAATGCTGGCATGGCAAACAAAAAACAAACAAAAAAAAACTGTGCTCCGTGTTAACAACAACAACACCTGCTAATGTCCCTCTCTTTTTCCAACTCTCTGGTTTGTGGTGCTTCATGCGAACAGGTGGAGTACAGACCCATGTTTTCAGACAGGCTGGATGTTCTTGTACATGTTTCTCCATGATTACCAGCCTCCAGACTTCCGATTGTGTTGTTTCATCCTGCTCCCTTTTTCCTTTTCTTTTTTTCTCCCCGACCTCTCCTGTATCTCAGGGTTCCTGGGGTTCAGGGAAGGACCAGTACAGCAAAGACCTCCTGGTCTCCTCCATCTTTGCTGCAGCCAGCCGCAAAAGAAAGAAGTCAAAGGAGAAGCCGCAGGCCAGCAGCTCAGATGACGATCTAGACGCCGTGTTCACCAAGAATGAGCTCCCTGTCCAGAAACTGAACCACCACCAGCAGCAGCATCACCTCCAGGCTGAGGCGAGTCCCGCCTCAAAGCAGCAGACGCGGTCGGAGGAGAATGGCAAAGTTGCGGAGTTGCTACCAAAGGTCAAGCGAGAGCACAAAAACTCCTTACTCCTGAAGGAGAAGACGCCACCCAGACACTCCTCACCTTCCCCGTCGCCTTCCCCAAATGTCTCTGGTTCCCCAAACATCACCTACCAAAGGGCTTCTCAAGGGAAGTCGTCCCTGTCTGATCCACCTTCACAGCTGGATGAAAATACCTCAGACCTTGGGACCATGAGCTCAGGGGCATCAGTGCCAAGGTCGAGACCCAAAAAGTGGTCAATAGGAGCATCGCCAGACTTTCCACTAAGTCTAAGCACAGGATTGGCTGGTGCATCTGCCGGTGCAGAAGTGAGTTCCATAACCTCGGACTACTCCACGACGTCGTCCATCACGTTCCTAACTGGAGCAGAGTCCAGTGTCCTCAGCCCGGAGCTGCAGGGAGGGGAGGAGGCAGACGATGAGCGCAGCGAGCTCATCAGTGAAGGTCGACCCATGGAGACGGACAGTGAGAGCGACTTCCCGGTCTTTGCTCCTGGAGGTGGCAGCACTCAGTCAACACCTTGTCCACAGCAGAGCAAGACACAAGCCAGTGTTGGAGGTGATGGTGAAGGAAAGTCCACACCCAAACTGGAAACCCGGCGCCTTTTCGCATCTCACAAAATGATCGAGTGCGACACTCTGTCCAGGAAGTGGTCACTCAGGCAGAAAACTGACAGCGAGTCCTCGGTGGAGGGTGCAGCCGGCAGCGGGGAACGCAGCGGAGGGAGGTCAGAGTCGTCGACGCGCTTGTCGCGAGTCCTGGAGGTGATGAAGAAAGGGAGGTCCACGAGCAGCCTCAGCTCCTCGTCGCGCAGCGAGTCGGAACGTCAGGAACCAGCCTGGCACCTGAAGATCACGGAGCGGCTCAAGTTTCGCTTACGTACATCTGCCGACGACATGTTTACCCCCAAGAACAGAGCTCAGGAAACTCGAGGTAAGAAGAAGAGCATTAGACGAAGACACACCATGGGCGGACAGAGAGACTTTGCGGAACTGGCCATCATCAAGGACTGGAGGGAGCAGGGCGGCAGAGATCAGGCAGCAGATCTGTCTGCTCTCGACAACTTCAAGCCCAGATGCTCCTCTGAGGACTTCTCCATAAAAAACTGGATTCCCAGTGAGCAAAACAGAGGCTCTGAGAAGAGCAGCGAGGTTGCACCAAAGGCAGTCCCAGAGGAAGATCATGCAGAGGTTGCTCCTCAGGATGTGCCTTCAGATAAACCTCCGACTCCTGTCTCCCAGGAGGTACAGGTCGCAGGGGAGCAAGTTAATGGAAGTGGGCCGCAAGGCAGAAACAAACCCTCCCTCGGGGTGGACCCTCACCCACAGAAACTTACTGGGGTTCAAGTTGTTCGCTCGCGGTTCTACCAGTATCTGTGAAATATCCTTGGGTCCGTGTGTCTGTGAGACGGAGTGAATGAATAAAATTAAGAAACAATGTACGAATGTAGGTATTTTAGCGAAGGTTACTGCAATATTTTTCTACGAAGTATACTTTATGTATCTACTGTACATACTGTGTATATAGGCTTTCAGGATTGTTACTGGATTAATGAGATGTTTGAGTGTTTGCGTCTTCTGACTTGTCGGCTATACTGGAACAGACACAACAACAACAAAAACTCCTGCCATATTCCTTTTTTTTATCGAATGCTAAAGATATTACAGATATTTGATCATTAGGCGAGTCACAATTTTTAATCTGCCAATTAAAGTACATATTTTTGTCAATGATGGCATTTTTCTCCTGAAAACATATGCAGACGCCATAATGAGGAAGTGATGTATTTTTTGCAGCTCTTGTGCAGCCACAAAGGCATTAATACAGTAGATGTCAAGTAACACTTGACTCAAGAGGGAAGGGAAAACAATAATAATTATCTTGCAACGCCCCCTAGTAGTAGGGAGTACAGCCCCCTAATTTGGGAGCTGCAGGACTGAGAGTTTACAATTTCTCATCAGAATTGTTAAATTGTTAAATTATTAATTTTAAACTCTTTTCGTCATTTCTAATTTCAGGTTTAAAAAAAGTGACATTACTGAAGTTTTAAAGTATCATAATTGACTCTGAAGACATGTTTTTGACGCAGCACTGGTGATAAAATAACAGTCAACGTGACTGAGTACGAATAATTAAAAACCCTGTTTTATGACGGTATCGCTGTTCAGTTCTTCCTATTATTAGCAGTATGAAGAATGTATTAATCTCTCCTATTTGGACTAACACTAGTTGTTTGTGACATTTTTGTCATTTTTTTAAACATGTATGTATGTATTGTATGTCATTTTTTTTGCCTGTACTTGAAGTATGTGTGTATAGTGGAGGCTGCTTTCTGAGCTGTGTGCTGTGGGAAGTTGGTGTAGTTTTTTTTTCACAGCACAGTCACAACAGCCAGATATTAGCTCAAAGGACTGAAGGGGTTTTTATGATAGTTTTATCAACTCAAGACAGAAAAAATAAGGAAGTACTGCTACTTCAGTATGTAATGCTTGGTACAGTAGTCTATATTCACAAAATCTGTCCAGTTAATGTAAAGGTTCATTTTGGGGTTTTTTTGTTTTGTTTTGTTTTTTTATTTCAAACTGGAAAAAGTGCCTCCTTTTATTCTGTTGTTTTTTAAACTGGATTTTCCAACATTTTACAGAATAAATCATTTTTAGTCATTCCACAGATTTGATTCTCCCCTGTAGGATTTTAGTTTCAAGTTTCAAATCTCGATTTTATCCGTGGGCAATAAAAACGCACAGGCGCTTAAAACCTGGGAGAAAAATGGTAGAAAATTCTAAAAAAAGAAAAAAAAGGAAAGTATTCTTTGGAACTGCATGAGACGTTGTATCTCCAGAACATCTTGTCTGTGCTCAGCAGGACATTGGTGCAATGCCCTCCTTCAACAAACACTGGAAATAAATATTCTTTATTATATTTTGTCTGTGTGTCACTCTGCTTTTTTCTATTTTACTTATGTCGGTTATTTTCTGAGGGACATGGGATTTAAAGTTATGTTTAATAGCCGAGATTGAAGACAGTCAAACTGGCCTAAGGTTTATCTCGACCAGTACACATCACTGTGGCAAAGTGTACGATAATTTGGCCCTCTGTACGATATGCGATCAATAACCTTAAAAAAGGTTAATTATACGATAATTTGACCATTAATGTGTGGTTGTAATCTAAGTGTCATAATTGTGAAATTATTGTGAACCGTGAAGGCATCAGTTTCCATGTGACAAGTTTTCAGCCAATCGTGGTTTCCTAAATGTGAGCTACCGGCGACGTTCATGGTTTTGCTTCAGAACTATGAGTATGATTGGCGGAATGTTCGGCTGTGTCTGCCCCACAAGAAACTTAAGTTAGGTCCTGACGGTAGTCTATCTACAAAAAAAAATTAAAATAAAGAGGAAACGAAGAAAAGGAAGAGGAAAAAGAAGGGACCAAGGGAAAAGAGCCCCTCGGAAAGGAGAAGGAATAGAGGCTAAAAGATGGCGGAGAGGCTAAAAAGCTCGCGGTATAAAGGAAAAGTAAGCAGCGGCAGTATCGCCCATAAACATACAGTATAGCAAGGTAAATAATAAAAAGTAAAAATATATATATACATGAAAGAATAGAAAAAGAAAACACGGGGAAATGTGTAACGCCTTGTACGATGTATGTTTTTTTAATATTAAAATTATTAGCTAATTAGCTTTTGCTCTCAATTCATTGTAAAATAATTGGATGGAAATAACCGGGAAGGAACATTGGGATATTTTGTCTCCCCCTACAGGTTAGAAAAATAAGAGTTACATTAATGCGGGATAATATTGTAATTGTGGTAATGGCTTTAAATAACGCCTAGGATTTGATATATTAAGAAAAACAAAATGAAATGAAAGAAAACGTATTTACTTTAAAACTAATTTCCTATTGTATGGAACAATAACATTTGGAAAATTCTGTGCATTATTTTATTAATAATTGGTAAACAGAGACTGTAAGATGCAGTTTGGATATGTTATATTATTATTAATATCATTATTATTATGGAGTAGCTTCTTGTGTAGCTATATATGTTCATAGTAACATACTGTATATGGATTCATTAAGTAGATATACCCTGTCTGCAATTCAAATGTCTGTGTGAGTGTGTGTGTGTGTGCGCGCGCGCCACATGATAACAATTACCTAACAATGCTTAGCCTCGTGCTGCTGTGTCGACTTCACCTCTTACGAAAACCGTCAGTGTGTCAGCTTCCAGCTCCTCACACTCACACGGTGAATCTACGAGCGTCAACCTCTTCTGTTCTTCTCACACGGAAACAAAGGTGAGATTCTGTTTATTATTATTCATCTAGATTTATATTTTAAACCTAAACGGCAGCAGGTAACAGACACCGCTATGGTTGTTTTTCTTCACTTGTACGATTGTTTCATCAGAAAGAAAATAAATATATTTAGTCATTAGTAAAACTGTTTAACCTTTATGCAAGATTGTTGTGTTTTGGGTTTTTTTTATAGGGTTTTGTTTTGTTTGTTGTTTATTTTTATGTAACCACAGTACTAAGGTGCAGCCCACTGTTGGTGTTACGTGAAACCAGCAGAACAGGTGCAGCAGCATATAAGCTGAGCAGAGACTGTAGGTTGAAAATGTTTATGTTTTTACAAAAGATCCAACTCCGTCTTATCTATAGTTCATTTCAATAGGAACAACAGGAACTAAAATGCCAACGATTCCAAGAATGAAGCTCTGTCTTACGATCTCTCAGTTGAACAACTTGAATTCAGTTCAATGTCCTGTAGAGAAAATCTGACTTTACTGACCAGCAGAAACAAAATCTTCTTCTTTTTTTTTTTGTTTTCTAATGAAATCATCAACATTTTTTACTAATTAATTTCATATAAAAAGCTAATTGTAGACTAGTTGTGGTTCTTTTTCAATAGAACAAGAGATCAATTTGTCAAGATTTTGATCCTATTTAATGAAAGATCAACAATAAAACATGACAGTGATGACGTTTTCCCACGTCACTCATTAATCAGCGAAATTCTTCCATCCTTTGTCTACCTCCTGTCACTGAAGGAGAAATGTCCGTCTTCTATCTCCTCCTACTGCTGGTTCCTCTGGTGTCGTCACAGACGTATCACTGGGGTCCGTGTCCTACACCGAAAGTTCAACCCAACTTCAACCTCCAACAGGTAACTGTCTACATCACTTCACACACACACACACTAATACTGGTCATCAGTATGTATGTGGCACAGAACACTGCTCACACACACACACACTAATACTAATAATATCAGTATGTATGTGGCACAGAACACTGATGATGTCTCTGTCAACAGTATCTCGGCCGGTGGTATGAGATTGAGAAACTTCCTGCTTCTTTTGAAAGAGGAAAGTGCATCGAAGCAAACTACGCGGTGAGGGCAGATGGAACTATCCAAGTGTTGAACCGACAGTTCTAGTAGGTTCTGGTTTTTCTAATCTACAATCTTATTAAAATGAAAAACTGTAGTCTTGTCGTAACTGAATGACTCGATTGAGTCAGATTCAAAGTATGGCTGTTTTGGTGGCTAATGCTATCCAACCGCTAAGTTGCTAGTTAGCAAAAAACTTTTAAAATTGTTTTTAAAAGTTAAAGAAATACACTCAAAAAATGTATTTATTTAGCTACTATTCTGTCTTTTATATTGTCACTATTTTCAATATATATGTTGAATTCTTCAGAAAAAAAAAACTAAAAATGTCTGGTAGGACATGTCCACATGGGAATGTTGTTGGGTGATTATTAAGAGATAAGTTTCTTTTGTGTTGTCGTGGGTGTGGTCCTGGGACATGGTCAGGTTACAGTGTATTTTACTGTTTAAGCTGTTCATCACATCAGCTTCAGTGTGCCCCCTGCTGGACACCAGGCCAGAATGACCAGACCTTTAAAGTTTAAAAACAAAATTCTAATAAAACATTATTTCTTCTTCTGCTGTGTTTGTGGCAGTAAGGACAAGATGAGGTCGATTGAAGGAACAGCCATCCTCCCCGACTCCAGGGATCCTGCAAAGCTGGGGGTCAGCTTCTCCTTCTGTAAGACCTGATTCTGACCTTTAACCTCTTGTCCTGGATTTCTGAGATTGAATGCTTTCCAACCAAAACACATGGAGCAATGTGTATAAATCTATATAATTCTCACTTTTTTAAAGAACTGTCTAAGTGGTATTCATGGTCTAAACCAGAGGTGCCCTTAATGAATACTTTTGGGGGGAAGAAATGTAATAGGAACTTGGTACATTTTTAAAGACAAAAACACCTTTCATAGGACGCTGCTCTGTCACAGAGTTCATTCTGGTTAGTGTCCACATTCTCCGTGAATGACAGCATCACAGAGAGGTTACACAACAACGGACCCACTTTATTAGTGACCGCAGTGACAATGAGCCCATCTGTTTGTCAGTCTGAAGGTTCATGCATCACTGTGTATTCCTGTCTTAATACGTCTCCCTACATGATCTTGGCCTGATTTTCCCAACTTTACCTTCAATTTAAAAAATGTTTGGGCTTTGTAAACAACTTTCTTTCTGTTGTCTTGTTTTTACTTGAGTGATGCTGTTGTGTAATCTTTATACCTCTACCAGTTTTAAGGTGTAAACAACAGGCCTAGAATCTGACAACTAGACAGTAAGAAGTCCTTATTCCACTGTATGCAGATGATACCTGCTTCTGTTTAGAAAAAGTAGAAAGTTTCACCCCTTTATTTCGTGTGACTTTCTGCTACTAGTTACTCCATACGGCACCTACTGGATCCTATCCACTGACTACACCAGTGTGTCCGTGGTTTACTCCTGCACGGACTTTCTCCGCATCTTCCACGTGGACTATGCCTGGATTCTCAGCAGGTCACGTTTCTTGCCTACGGACACTCTCCGCTACGCCAAAAATCTGCTGATCGGTGAAGGCATCGACTTGTTCAAGATGAAACGCACTGATCAGTTTGGCTGCAAAGACGACTAGAGACTGGTGAACTGTGCAGGTGTTGACAAGTGAAGGTGATTCAGTGCTTTTTTTATTTATTCTAGTTTGTATTTTAGCAGATCATATCAGATTATGATGATGACGTTTGTACTCACTGGTTTGTATCCACATTTACCCCATTGGATTATATTCAAATGACTGACGGAAGGGTTTGCTAAACAAAGAATATAATCAAAAAATATATATAAAAAATTCATCTTGTTTTCATACAGCATTTTCTGCGTGAACCAAGTCATATCATCTTGTTTTCATACAACAGCATTTTCTGCGTGAACCAAGTCATTAAAAGAACTTGTAAAGTTTCTGGTGGTGTTTTTTTTCCTTGAAATTTGGGCAACTGTACTAAAACACTGGCATAAGTGCGAACTCGCAGTTAATTTTATCTTTGCTAAATTAAAGCTTATCCATTAATTTTAATTTGTTTTACTAGTTTTAATATTGATTTCTGATAATGTTTTAGTTTATTTCAAGTTATAAGTCTTATTTCTGAATTCAGTATTTATTACATTTGCTGTCCTATCCCTTCAGATTTAGGATTAGGGTTAGTGTATATTAAGGTAGAAGGCAAGGGTGTGTGTGTGTGTATGTGTGCGTGTGTGTGTGTGTATTCAGTCTTCTAGACCCCTCATACCACAGACCACAGTGGACCAGCAGAGAACCAGCAGCATTTTTCCTTCCAGCTTCACAGACTATTTCCAGGTAAAAAAATCTGCTGATTTTTCTTTAATCATTCAATGAATTTGTTTTTAAGAGTGTCTATTAGTATGTTTAGTATATTTTTCAAATTTAGATTTAAAAGTATATAAATAATTTTGGTTCTTTCCTCTCCTGACTCAGAATGAAGCTGTTTTTGTCCATCACTTTCCTCTGTTGCCTCTGTGCCTCATTTCACTTCACAGGTGAGTTTCCTTTTATTTTTAACCTCCTTTTGTTGTTTGTCTGCTTTGAAAATAGTGTTGCTGCAGTTTAATTCATTAATAAAACACACTGATAAATGATCAGGTGTGATATGCACTATTTAAAAGCATGTTTTAAATCCTGTATGATGTGACAGAGCTGTGTTTGTTTTGCTGACTGCAGGGGTACAAAGAGGACTTATTTGTGTGTATCAGTGTTTGCTTGAATGGTCAGCAGTTATATTTGAACAGTGAGAAGGTTTTCCACTGTCCTCTGGGGAAAAGCTCACTTTTCGTTTTTTTTCCCCTGACCTGAATCCTGTCTTTGTAAATGGAAATCTGTGGAATGTTTGGGAATGTTAATTTGTGTGTTTTTCCCCTCTTCCCTCTCCTGGACAGAGGCCAGAGTCATCCCAGAAGGAGGTACTGTACTAAAATATTTAAACACATTTATACATATATCATTACCAGAAAGAAAATCCAAAATAAATAAGTCCGTTACTATGCATATATGCATTTTTGTGCTTCTGTCTTCTGTAAATACAAAAAGTATCACTGTGTTAAAAGGCAAAGGAATACTTCGAACCTCCTGTCGTTGCAACATTCCTCACCCTCGTGTTTCTCCTCCTCTTGGTTGAAGTGAACAAAGCTCGTTTGATTGTTGAGACTTTTGCTTCTTCACAGATACTTCCAGAGGAAAGTTCCAGTCATGTAGATTTCAGAAAATAACTAACTTAATAATTCCGAAAATAATAAAAAAAAGCTCGACTGAACGCTAGTGTGGATTTTGTACATAATCACAGTTGCTAATACATCCAAGCTTAAGGCTAGCTGGCTAGACAGCTTAGGATTTTCCAGGTTTACTAAAATATTACAGAAATACTTAGAACGTAAACAAAGGGAAAGTTACAATAATCTTAAAAATGAGTTCAATGTTAGCCAAAAATAACAAAAAAGATAAAAGTTAGGCTAGAAGAAGCTAATCCTAAGTATTGTGTGTTTTCAGTGCCGTACGACCAACCACCAGCTGTCCCCTACTGGCCCTACTCCACCTCTGACTTTTGGAACTACATTGAGTACTTCAGGTCCATCGGTGCCTACAAACATATTGATGAGATGGCCAGGGCTTTCTTTGCCCACCAGCACATTGGAGACACACTGGGATATGAGACCAACGAAGGACATGAGCACTGAAGAAGAAGAAGAAGCCCAGACAGTGAAATGTGAAAGCCTTTTACATCTAAAATACAAAGAAATACATGGAGACAATGCATCATTAGTGAAGTAGGTCAAATAATGAAATACAAATATTGTTACAAAATAATAAAATATTAAATGCAATACAAAATATGTGTTACTGTAGCCTGTATTTAGAGTTCAGAGGTGAAAGAAAACGTAGAAGTAGGATTTTTGTACACCGTCCTGTTGTATCCCTTCATGTACTAACATGAGACAAATAAACTACGTGTTATTTCTACTAAATGGCAATGTTTTCTTATTTGCTTCCTTTATAAGCCATCATTGAAAATGATTTCCGACATAATGTGCAAAACATAACAAATAGACATGTATTTTTTAAATTAATTTTATTTGTTTATTTTTAATAAAACACGCTTCGTATTAATTTGAGCTGAGAACCTTTGTTTGCGGAACTATCGCGCACAGTCGGACATACATTGGTGTCGCACACATACTATCTGTTTACCAGGAGTTCCGCCAATATCCAGGCTAATAGTAAACTTAACACAACACCGCATTTTAACCGACAACGGTGGAAAAATAAAAATGAAACCAGCCGTGGACGAGATGTTTCCAGAGGGAGCTGGTCCTTACGTGGACCTGGACGAGGTAAATTTCGTTGTGAAAGCAACGTATTTGTTCGTTATTAAAGCTAATGCTAGTTAGCTGTGGTGGTTCGTTAACTGTGTATGGTCTTTTGGTATGAAGCGGTCCAAAGTTTGTCTGGAAAAATCGTACATCATTACATTTTAGAGTCTAAACTACTATTACTAAACGTGATTTTGCGTTGTTAATACAAAATTCACTCCATGTCCAGACTAATACTCATCAGACAGACGACGTGTTTTATGTCTATTTCGAATGTTTTTTTCTGTTTGTTTGTCTGTTTCAAGCCTTTGTAAACTGTAGCCATTTTTATGTCTCTGGTCTTGTTTAGAAGCACAGTATTCTGGTTGGTTATTGAATTTCAAGGCGGCTCTCTGTGAGCATTGATTGTGATGATGTTAATTATATTAGTATTATCCTTCCGGCGGCTCAAACTATTGAGTTTGAGTTTCTGCTCTGACCTTCGTGATAAGGAGAACTTAAAACGTAAAATACACAGACCGACGAATATGCCACATTGATATGAAATGTACAACCTCTATTGTTATTATGTTTTCTCTCTCTCTCTCTAACGTGTTATCCTCATATGTACTGTCCTGTATTCCCAGGCAGGGGGCAGCAGCGGTTTGCTAATGGATCTCGCGGCCAATGAAAAAGCAGTTCACTCTGACTTCTTCAATGGTAACGTTTACACGGCACTCTCCCACCATTTATCTGCTCACAAATGTTTTATGTGTCTGTCAAGGTTCTAAGTCACCTGTGTTTGATTAGTCCCAGTGTAGAATATTATGTAGAAACAGCAGAAGGAATGCAAATGTAGAATATTTAAAACAAACAATGGTGTTTGAATTGGGGTTTAAAAAAGCTAAAACTGACAACAATTGATTAAAAAAAACAGCAATCATAAAATGGTGTTGTCTGATGATCTATTAAGTTGAAGAAATGTGAGTTGGTGTAGTGAAAGGTTTGAGTATCACAAGTTTGTTTTATGTGTAGAAGTCAGTTTGCAGTTTCTATGAATGGGATTTCATACATGAATTACATGTATTTACATTTTAGCTTTGAAGACATCAACAGGATTTTTTTTTAATTCTCCACATTAAGTTCAGGTAATCCCATAAATAAAATTAATGAGAAAAACATTTGCAGGTCATGTTCAGCATAAACCCTTCATTTTAACACATCTGTCAGTGGAAGTGTTGAGACTAATCCAGTTTTGTCAGTGGTGTAAAAGGATAAGGAGGAGGAAACCAGATCACGTACAGGCGGCACACTGAGACGTTAGTGTAAGCACATTAAGCCGTTTCTTTCTTTAACCACATTTGGCTGTTTTCAAATGAACCCACAGAAATCCACTCTTCCCCCTGTAAACACCAGTTAATGTGCTGGGGCACACTAAAAAAAAACAACCAGCTAATCTGTTTTCTGGCTTGCAGCGTTGGCTGCTGGCAAAACAATCCTGGCTCAGCAGCTCCCGACCCAGAAAGAAAAGAGCTGATTGTTGTAAAGACCCGAATGAAGCAGTAGAAAAAGAGAAGACGGGGAAAGGACTTAACTGCTGCTGTAAGACTGGGGCTCAGCAGGACGCCCCGCCAGTCAGCTGCTTTCAAACACACACACCTTTTCTTGTTGGGACCCTCTTTGCCTAATCCTAACCCTAAAGCAAAAACTGATTAAACCTCAGATCAGATGTTTTAAATTTGTCACTTAAATAGGAGTGGGGAAAAATGTCTTTAAAGAATCCATATTGAAGTATTTCCAAAAGAAAACAAGTAAAATACTGTCAGCACACCATCATAATTAAAAACAAATTAGTCGGGACTGGTTCTCAGAAATCCTGTAGAAAATGTTGATTATATTATCTCTAAAACAAACCTTAGGCTCTCTGAGGAGAAGTAAAGTAGAAAAGAAGTTGAGAAACAATCTGTTTTTATCAGAACCCTCTGAAAGTACAATCGCTACTACCCTCCGTTCTGTGTGCAGTGATATTGATCAGTGCTTTCTCTTTAGACTCCCATGAGAAGATGTGATGGAGATGGAGGCAACAAATGTAATTTAATGCAGTTGCATGGCATTAGATTCATTGATTACATTGATTGCAGCAGCTGTGACTCAAAGAGTTGATCTGTATTACAGACAGGGAGAGATTAATTAAAGCCTTGATTACTAGGAGCCGATCAGGGCTGAACTGATCACCTGTTGGCAATATTGATTGACTCGTCGATGGTTCTTTACAGTACAGTGCACAGGTCCTTCAGCTGCATGAAGCTAAGAGAAATAATCCAACCATGATGAAACCTGTCTGAATTAGAGAAGATTTGTTCCTGACTGGACAGAAATATGAGTAACATCTTCAACAACTCCAGCTACATTTACTGCAAGGAGTAACATCTTACTCAACAACTCCAGCTACATTTACTGCAAAGAACTGAAAAAAGATTTTTTTTGTTTCAATTTTTTAGATGTTGTTTTCTGTCTTTCATGCCTCCAGTACAGCCTTGTGTTTGTAATTGTATCTTTTGTTTTTCAACCGTCGCTGCATCTGTGATTATCTTGTTTGTTCTAATTGTTGTGAAGTGTCAGAAAAGTGATGGGGAAAAAACAGCACTAAAGACTGAAAGGACTAATGAAAAAAAAAAGTTGAGTTCTAAGTAAATAATTCTGTCTTCTTCTCTGTTTTCTTCTTTAGACTTCGAGGATCTTTTTGATGATGATGACCTGCAGTGAAACAAACGCTGAGAGACACAAAAAAAAGACTTTGAGAAAATGGGGTCATTCTGACCATATGCACTTTGTCATATTTGTACAGCCCCTCTCCCCCCTACTCCTCCCACTGTTCTTGATGTAGATCCTCACCCAATTGAAATAAAGCCTCTCTCTGTTTTTACACCAAAATGTGCAAAGACGAGCTGTCAGCGTGAACCAGGTGTGTGTGTGAATTGTGAGAATCCCTGACATTCCGGCTGCGGAGTAAATTCTGAGTATGGTTTTAGCTCCTGTCATGTTTGAATCTGCTCAGAGTTGGATTGTAGGTTTGAGGCCGCGCTGAAACACCTGTTTGGAAACGTAATTACACACAGGATACAGTGTTAACACGACCGCTGGACGTCCAGCCGGCGCACGACGGGACAGGAGGGGGCTGCAGAACACGTGGATGTGCTGGAAAAGTAAAGTGTCTGTAGGCGAGTGTCAGTAATCTTTATATATGTATTTTTTTTAATGATGCAGGATGAGTCGTCAGCAGTGAGTGTAGGTGTGAAGGACAGAGACGACAAAC